GCTGACTTGAATACGTCCAGCCCCTCCAGAAGCTTCCTAACTAAATCCTCGCTAACCCTTAGCCCAGGTGTGTCTCCCCCGGGGCCCGAGGGGGGCCCAGCAGGGAGGTGGCTGTTCTGGTCCCTACTTAGGAAGACGGAGGCAAAGAAATCATTAAACATGTTAGCTTTGCCGTCTGGTGTGATGACCAAATTTCCCAACGCATCCTGCAAGGGCCCCACATTACCCAGGACCTTCTTTTTATCCCTTATGTATTTAAAAAAGGCCTTCTTATTGTCCTTAATCTGGGAAGCTAGTCCCAGTTCCATCTCTGTCTTGGCCTTCCTAACTACCCCCCTACATCCCCGAGCAACTGCAGAATAATCCTCCCTGGTGATGACCCCTTCTTTCCATTGGATGTAAGCCTCCTTTTTAGCAAGGAGACATTCCTGGATGCTTTTGGTGAGCCATGGAGGCTTGTGTGCTCTCCTGCTCCCTTTGATCCTTGGAGGGGACTGATCATCCCGATACTACCAGGGTAAGGCTGTGTGCTTACACACTTGTGTACGAGGTTCTCTTGGGCTGTCTCATCTACCTTTCCCCAGTAGCATGGCAGTGGGTTCAGAGGCTTTTCCTCTGTGTGTGTGTGTGTGTGAGGTCAGGGTGACCTCCGTGATGTTATTGTGAGTTGGGTTAAACAGAATGGGGGTCCAGGACCCCAGAAGAATCTGTCTAGCCTCGCTTGGATTACGGCCCAGGATTGGGCCAAGGGAATTTTAGGTAAAAAAAAATCATGGAAGCAGGCCTTTCATAAAGCATCTGCCCTCCAGCCTTTAGCTTGGTGTGTTTAAGATTTCACCTCCAGACTGCTAACACCAAAGAGAGAGAGCCTTAGACTAAAGCCTGCACTCTGGCCAAATGTACCTTAACTCTGATGACAGCCCTAGGCTTAGTATATATAGAATTGTTTAATTGTCTGTATTGTTGCTTTTTTGTTCTTGCTCTGTATCAATAAATTCACTTCCTATTGACTGGCAAGTGTTGTAATCAGTCTGAGGATTGTATTCATCCAGAACAAAGGTATAGGTGCTGGGTTCATATCCAGTCCAACTATTGGTAACTCTACCAGGATGCAAGAGTAGTAACCTAACTGATCAAGGAATCTGTTGATGCAGAATGATGCAGTTTTAGAGGGGTTAGCTGAAACTTGTAGTAATGTAAAGTTATATAGGAAGTAACGAAAGTAATAAGTATTGTGCAGGAGATGTTGTTTGTTACTGCTAACCAGGAGACTTTGTTTGTCCAGATTAGGAAGAGTAGTGGACATGAATATATGCTGTGTTTCGCTTGGAATTAAGTAAGAACCTCCTGTTGTGTTTACAATAGGAAGTTAGAAAACAAAGAAAGTAATCTCTTTGCTAGAAAGGCTGTGTAAAGAACAGGGATCCTTTAACTCTAATGTCCTTGGGAGAATAATTACAGTCTTCTGCAGAGACTGTAATTATTCTCCCAGGTGTGTGTTTGCTGTGAAGTCTGTAAAGTGTAAGTTACTGGTGCAGGTTATAGAAGACAAAGTGTTATACAGGCAGTACAGCTTCAGATATATCAAAGACAGTTAGAAAAATGTAATACATACACTCTGGGATCCTGTGTACCAGAAAATAGAAGCAGGAGCACAGAAAGAGACAAGATATGTTACTAGACATCTGCTCAGGCAGTGGCAGAGAATTTGTGATTAGAAGTGAGGGGAAACTTGGTTCTCCCCCCTGCCTCTCCAGGAACAGTGAAGAGATTAGAAGAGATAGAGATTGTTTACAGATTTCATAGATGTTAGGGTTGGAAGGGACCTCAAAAGATTGAGTCCAGCCCTCTGCCCCAGGAGCAGGAAGTCAGCAAGGGTCATAGGATCCCACCAAGATAAACATCCAAATGTCTCTTGAAGGCATTCAAAGTAGGTGCTTGAACCACGTCCAGTGGTAGTCTATTCTAGACCTTGGGGGCTTGGAGAGTAAAGAATTCTTCCTTATGTCCAGCCTGAAATGGTCATGGAGGAGTTTGTGACCGTTTGATCTTGTCATCCCTTGGGGCGCTCTGGTGAACAGACATTCCCACAGATCCAACAGCTCGTTTTAGGAAACATCAAGGCACAGGTGTGTAAACGGAGATCAGTGCCTATAATTACTTTGAGTTACTCTGAGCAGAGAAAGAGAAGTGAGCTTATCAGAGGCATGTTTTGTTTTTCTCTGCAGAGGCATAGTTTAAAGGTTTCCTTTTTAGGAAGGTAAGAGTCTTCCTAAAGGGACTGTTTGTAGTGTATAATTTGTCAGCCATGGTCTTTCAGGGGAACTTTCTTAGTCCTGAAGTGGAGCTTTCTGGGCTGTACAGCAGTAAAAGAGAGAGATTTGCTTAATAAATTAGTTTGCAGGGAACAAGGTAAGAAGGGGCCTATCGCAGGACACTTCTGTGCCCTGCGCCTAGAAAGAGGCACAGGTGCCGGTTGCCAGGGCAACCGCAGTTTGGTCAGCTGACCAGAAGGGGGCAGGGCCTGGCCTATATAAACAATCCAGTCTGAGGCCAGAGAGGTCAGTTCTCCTCTGGCAGCCAAGGAAGAGGAAGCTCTGCTGGGAGTAGGCAGAGCAGAGAAGCCTGATGGCCTGAGCAGCGTCTGCTTGATGATACTGGGTGGAGGAAACCCTGGTAGGGATATGAATGAAGGTTAGCCAGTTGGCTTGGAATTTATGTTGTAACACAGGAGTGTGAGTTTTCTGTTTTGTAGTTGTGTAAGACTGGAGGACCGGGTGAAGCTGTAGGGGTTGGAGGCCTCATAGGGGCTCCACAGTAGTGTGGAGACCCAGCGCTGGAGAGGGCGCCGCGTTTTGGGGGTGTATTGACCCCGGCCTCAGTGTGGGCAGTGTCGTGAGGGAAAAGCCCCAGTGTGGGCATAGGCGAGAGGCCCTAGTGGGTCACAAGACCCGAGAAGGGGGTCTGGGGGGGCCAGGCATGGCTATGGCCACCTGAGCCTCGGTGAGGACCCCAGTGGGGCGCAAGACCCGAGAAGGGGGTCTGGGGGCCAGGCATGGCTATGGCCACCTGAGCCTTGATTGTGGGAAGCCCCAGTGGGGCGCAAGACCTGAGAAGGGGGTCTGGGGGCCAGGCACGGCTATGGCCACCTGAGCCTCGATTGTGCGAGGCCCCAGTGCGGCCGGGGATCGCGAGGTGAGGCCCCAGTGTGGGTGGCAGCTGCAGGACAAGCCAGAGGGTGCCCATGAGGGCGAAGGCAACGGAGAAAGACGAGCCAGAGGACCTGTGAGGGCACGGACTGTAGTACCCACGCGTAGCCCCTGAGGCTTTAGGGCACGGACTGGGACATCTCAGGGCACCATGCCAAAGAGGGTAAAAAGGCAGCCTCCCTTTAACAATATTACCATCAAAGATGTGGCGGGCGAGATAGAGAAGGTGCATTTGAAACCAATTTGGCATGGTAGGGGGGCGCTAGGGGAGTTCATGGCCGCCCCTGGGTCCCATCACTGCCACAGGGCCACTAATGAGAATGGATTGGGAAGCCTGTAGCCCGGAAAGGATATGGTTAAGATTTTTTTAAAGGAAAACTAAAAGTTAAGTAAAACCTAAAAAAGTGTTAGGATTCTAAAGAGGTGCTAGAGAGAGAAAGAAAAGAAAGATCTAATAAAGGGTCTGCAGAGCCCTAAAAAAACCGAGTGATTTGGTAGTTCAGAAAAGGAGCACAGAAAGAAAGATCATTGTTAGAGCTGCCAGAGCCAGGAGCCTGCAATCTCAGCTGACCCAAGCGGGGGCCAAGAAGCTCAGAAGTTAGAGACTGTGCCCATAAGAAGTAAAGAAGACCAAAGCAGGAGAGTAGAAAGTTTAATCCTGAGTGTGACCTGAAACTGCCACCCTTCTAGGTGTGGTTAGTGTAGTAGAGCTACCTGTAGCGGGGTAAGCTCTGCAAAATGCTGCATAAGAACCACCCCAGGGAACAGGCAAAAGGCAAATATAGAGTGCCTTAAAACCCTAGCTCTCACCTCCTTGTAAGTTTTATTCTTCATTAACAAAAGGCTTGGAGAACATACTCAAACAGAAAAACTCTTAGTACAAGGAAAAAAAAGAGATGTGTGCCATGAAATGCCCACCACTTTAAAAGAAGAACACTGTTGTAAAAGTAGCCTCTGCAAAAGTGCCAGGAGGAAATTTTTGAATGAGTGCCAGCCTGACTATAGGCCAAGCAAAGCCAGCCACAGTGTATAAGAAAAACAAGAGGAGTGAGCCCCTCCCTTTCTGTCCTTGTGTTTTACAGGATAGAACCACTGCTGAAGCATCATGAAGTTTGCTGAGTACAAGAAAGAAATCAAGCTTGACTGTGTTATGTGTAGTGACTGTGTTTTACCAAGTCTGTAAAATGCTATTGCTATAAGTAATTGTGATGTTAACTATGTTAAACTATAAAATGCAAAGCAAAACTTCTTGATAAGCTATGAAATACCTGAAGAGTGGCTACAAAAGTAATACATCACGCAGAGCATCACCTCCATAACCTTGCAGAGTTCAGCCATGCCAAAGATCAAGAAGGCTACTAAATTGTTTGTTTTATTGTCATCCTTTGTTTCCTTCCCCCCTCCTTGTTTTTGTTTTGTTTGTGTTAAAATTAATGTATTTTAACTTGTATAGTAGAAATAGTAATGTAATGTAGTTTTATTAATTCCCAGAATTTGTGCAAAGATTAGAAACGCAAAGTAAAATCATAAAATCCTAAGGAAAACCAGGGCCTTCTTGTACAGACAGCATACCTAGTTTCCACAGCAAGTTAAAGTCCTAACCCTTGACATTTATCCAGACTTTGGCAGAATAGAGGGGCACTAGTAGTGCTATAATGACAACAGCATTCAGCAAACAAATTCAGCTGCATATTCATGTCAATAGAAAAGGGAAAAATAGCCCTATGGTACCATCATTCCAGTTCCTGGCTCGGTCCAAGGCTGAAAAGCAGCTAGCCTAAGCACTCTCTCACTCATCACCAATGATGGGCAAAAAAGTCAGTCCTCTGTCTGAGCAACACAAAAGCATCATCTACCTTGCCAGGCCCAAGGGGTGTATTGTGCGGAAAAAAAGTGATGGCCTCTGGAGAGTGGACTGGGTTTCTCTTTTGCTGCCTATACTAATTCTGTGAGGGAGTGTTAAGGTGACTGTATTTGAATCTTGGGGAGCAGGGGATTTGCAGCTGAATAAAGGCTTTCTTCTGTGTCTCAGCAGAGCTGCTGACCACAAGGCAAGATGCAAATGCTTGGGCAAACAGTTTTCTAACAAGGTCATAGTGTTGTAAAGTATAGGGCCCATTGTGTAATAAGAACAAATGCAGCCCACCAACTATCGTCAGGAGATAAAGCAGAAGCAAGATCTTGCAGATGAAGAAGGAGTCAACAAGAAACCAGAAAGAACCAGCAAGTGACCAGAGGAAGCCGCGGTCAAAGTCTCGAGCATGCACTCTTAGCAGAGAGGCAAGTAAATGAATAAAATGCATAGGCAATTCCATGCTAGTTAAGTAAACAATAAACAGAGGTGGAGCTTGAGATGGGAGGAGAAATGGGTGGAACAAAAGGAGGGACGAAGGTGGAATGAATGTTAATGAGCATGAACCAAGGTGTATAAAATGTGAAAAAAAACCCCAATATTCACAGCAGGTCCCCTGGTTCATGGGCTGTGTGTCTGTGAGGGACCTTTGCCCAAAGCTGTCTCCATTTTGAATAAAGCTGTTGTGAGCAATGTGTGCTGGCTAATGAGTAACAGGATCCGTTGGCAATTGGATTGTCGCCTTCCTAGTCACTGGGTGCCACATGGAGTCGGAGTTTCATTCAGTTCTTCATTTCATTCAAACCTTCATGCTTCTTTATAGACAAATTGCAGATAGTTTGGAAAAGAAAAACGGTCAGGAGGATGGAACAATTAATTTATGAGGAAAAGTTAAAAGAGCTTCACACATATCAGCTAAAATGCCTAACAATGAATAACATGTGCCTGCAGAATGTAACCAGAAACAAGGAAAAGGAACAGGAAAGGAAAAGGGATAATTATGGTAGAAGTAAATTAATTGAATTGAATGAGGGGAAATTTTAGTTAACAGGGAAAAAAGTCCTTTAAAAAAAAGAGGTACAGTTGTTGATTATAGAGTACAGTCTCAAGACCTAGATGTCCCATGTTTGGGCTATCAATTGAACAAAATATATGTAAACATGAAATAACCTAGTAATCATATTTAATCTTTTGCATATCTAAACTCTAGAAAATTATGAAATTGTTGATGAAGGGACTTCTGTTGTAAGGTCCCTTATGTCTTCTACTCAGCATCTGGAAATCAGCAAAAAAGTCTGTTTCTCAGAAATACTGAGTCTTTTCTCTCCCCTCTCATGGTACACTATTTTGGAAAGTGTTTAAGAAAACATCAAATTCTTTCTTCACAGCTCTCTAAAATTTCTTCCATGTCTAACAATAAAAGATCTAATATGTCAAAAGCACAGACCTGGGTAAAAGTACAAATGCTGAAACTGTAATAGGTAATTTTCTGCACAGCTCAGTAGCTGAACTAGTATGGTTATTTCTTGACACACACAAGCAATAGTTGTTTAAAAACCCTAATAGCAACAGAAATTCAGTAATTTGATGGGAAACTCTGTGGAAGAACCATTTCCAAGCTATCCACAGCAACCTGGGATATAGTTCATAAATATTTCCAAAGGTATTTCAGTTTCTACATCTATTTAAGTGTTCAAATTCCTGTTAGCTAAAAAAAAAGAGAAAGAGAAACAAGCATATGAATTTTGCACTTTAGATGTTTTAAGAGATCTGTAGACATCTCCTCATTATGCTGGAAAGGATGACAGCAAAATGGGACCTTTGTACACGTGTAGTTGGGATGGCCATAATTTAAATATTATTGAACTCCCCTAAACTCAGATCCTATAGTCTTCCTTCCTTTTGGGATTCAGCCTAGATTTCCCCCTCTTGACCACCACTGAGACTTATAGAATCATTACTGGAACAGTAAATATTTTTCTAGATAATGCTGGAAAACAGCATTATAGAATGGATCCAGAGATTAGAGGATATCTTTTTGTTCACCCTGTTTGAAAGATAAATTCCCACATTATGAAGCTAAGCTACTTGACCACTATTCCACCAAACACTAGAATTACTTACCAGACCACTCTGCTAAATTAACTATAGTAAAAACAAATGCTGAATTAATAAAAGGAAACAAAACCAGACTGAAAGTTGTACATAATGCTGACAATGTTATTGGTTAATAGTTGGGGGTTCTGCGTATATAAGTCAGGAGAGAAATGCTTCCCCCGGGTAATATAATGCACAAGTACAAGGATTTTGGATTGGAAATGCTTTGGGACTGTGATCATATCATTTATACAAATGTAAACTCTCTGATGCTTGGGAACTTGGTTCTAATAAGGCCATCTAAGCTCTACCATAATACAGCTACATGCTAGAAAAATATAAAACTATACTAAAAGAACATTTTAAAATTGCAACCCTTCAGCAGTTGGAAAATATCCAGAAATAAGGGGGCCTCTGTATCTTAAATTGTATGAACGAGTTATGATTCAGTCTTTAATTACATGATCATGTACTACTTTTTCCACAAGAATCCTGCTTCGTTCAGTGTACATAACGGATGTTGCTTACTTAAGTGAACTATTTTGCTCAAGACAACAATTCACTATTCTGTTTTCTCCTTATTGTTTTATTTGTAGACCTAGGCCCTATTAACTGCACATTATTCAAATCCTGCCCTCAAGACAGAATTATTAATTTCCCCATGGGATTTTCTATGGTGCTTACTACTACATAGTAACTATTTCACAAGCACATATTTTGACAATATCTTGTAAAATGAGGGTGGGGAATTTAGGTATGTAGAGATTCTAGGTAATGTGGGGCCCCTGCAGGACACGCTAGGAAATTTAGTCATCACACCACACGACAAAGCCAACATATTTAACGATTTCTTTGCCTCCATTTTCCTGAGTAGGGACCAGAACAATCACCCCTCCCTCTGGGCCCCCCTTAGATCCCAATGGGGATAGTGAGGAACTAGTTAGCGAACTTCTGGAAGGACTGGATGTATCCAGATCAGCTGCTCTGGACAATCTCCACCCTAGAGTACTGAGGAAATTGGCTGAGGTCATTGCGGGACCCCTGGCACAGCTGTACGAGCACTCGTGGTGCTCTGGTGTGGTGCCGCAGGACTGGAAAAGGGCCAATGTGGTTCCCATCTTCAAAAAAGGGGAGGAAGGAGGACCCAGGAAACTATAGGCCAGTTAGTCTTACCTTGATCCTGGGCAACCTTTGAGAAAATTGTTTTGGCGCATATCCATGAGGGGCCAGCAGGGAAGATTATGCTTAGGGGCAACCAACATGGGTTCATTAGTGGCAGGTCCTGTCAGATCAACCTGGTGACCTTGTATGACCAGATCACCAAATCCTTAGGATGCAGGGGTAGCAGTGGACATAGTCTTTCTGTACTTTTGGAAGGCCTTCGACACTGTCTCTCACCCCGTTCTCATTAAGAAACTGGGGGACTGTGGTGTTGACACCCACACAGTCAGTTGGGTCGCCAACTGGCTGGAGGGCCGCACCCAGAGAGTGGTGGTGGATGGGTCATTTTCAACCTGGAGGGATGTGGGCAGTGGGGTTCCGCAGGGCTCGGTCCGTGGGCCTGCACTGTTCAACATCTTCATCAGTGACTTGGACGAGGGGGTAAAAAGCACCCTGTTCAAATTTGCTGATGACACCAAGATATGGGGGGATGGGGGCACGCTAGAGGGAAGGAATGGGCTGCAAATCGGATCTAGACAGGTTACAGGGGTGGGTGGATGAGAATAGGATGGGATTCAACACTGACAAGTACAAGGTGATGCACCTGGGG